TTGATGAGCCCGCCTCACTGCAGGGTTCTCATGCGAGAAATGGATATTTACGGTTTGGGCATATCACTGGAACTCACCAAGTGAGAGGTTGCCCTGAGCCTTTGTTATCTGTGATAAACATCTTGGGTGGTGAAGACAATGAAACTACCGTTGGTTGATAGCTCCACCCATCCTCAGCATGGCGGGCACACACCACACGCGCCCATACATCCTTACAATAACTTAGGACAATTTTATCGCTCCAATCTAAGATTGTTTCTGTGGTATGCGTAGAAATGTCAAACTGTCCGACATGTGCAGCTAATGGGAAAAGCTTTTTTTTATGGAATGACGCACCAGAAACACCATGTTTGACCGGAATGATCTCGAGTGGTAAACTTGACATCAAATAATTAAAATAACATCAGAATCAGATATTTGGACCCCCCCCCAAAAAAAACCCGTTGTATTGTTTTAACTGCGAGTACCTCCAACCTGGGTGGCGGCCATTTTTTCCCCCAAAAATGGTGGCTCCTAGAGCATCTGCCTTGCCTCGAATCATTAAAATGACATCGTATTTAGATTCTGTGACCCCGAAAACCCATTAAAGGTGGTATTATTTAAGATTTTAGCTCGTTATTTTCTTAACTGTGATATATGTGGCGGCCATTTTGGATTTTGCCAATATGGCGGTCCCTTGGGGCATCTGTCTTACCTCAAATCGTTAAAATAACATCAGATTCAGATTGCTCGACCCCGAAAATACCTGAAAATGAGTGGTATTATTTATGATTCTAGCTAATTTAGTTCAATTGACCTCTGACCCGATTGGCGGCCATATTGGATTTTGCCAATATGGCGGCCCCACGGGGCGCCCGTCTTGGCGCCCGTCAAAAATCGAAATAGTATGGTATGGACGACATCTGTGCCAAATTTGGTGCTTTTGGAAGAATGTGAACCAAAATATCCCTAAGACCCCCGACTATTAGGTGCATTGTGATTGTTAATGATCTACATGTACTCTCTAAATTCCAAAGAGTGGAAATTCACTCCATTGGGGTGAAGATTCACTCCCACAGTCGGAAACTAGGGACTAGAGGTTTTAGAGTGAAATATCTTCAATCGTAATAAAGATTGAGTTTTCACTCGAGCTTCATCTGAAGTGGTTCTTTTTTCAGACTATTTCAATCAAACGTGACAGTGATTTCCACTCTAAAACGTCTTGTCCCTAATTTCACTCTTTGTAATTTATAGAGTATAATAATCAAGAAGAATAGGTTATTCATACACAATCAAAACTTACTTGTTTTTCTTCACGTTTCAAGGAACATTGTTGGCATTCATCAGACGATGCCGTGCGATTTTCTTGTTTAGGTTTTCAATTTGTCTTTGTTCCTTCACGTGGCTCTGGCCGTAATCCTTTTGTAAATCCTTAATTAGGTTCATGTGATTGTGAAGATGTATAATTAAAGAAGGTTGGGGGGGGGGTTTGCAATTTTTTTTTTTTTTGCAAGTTCCAAATGTCGGGCTGCAGTAATTATCGTTATTCAGTGTTGTGTGCCAAGGCTTTAATATTCTCATGAAAAATGTTGAATCGTTGAATTGATTGAGCTTTAGTTGCGATTCTGTGTTTATAATAAAACGAGATCTCTCGGTCCCCCTTGATTTCAACCGAATGAACCCAAACCCGTTGTTACAATCATCCTTGGAACATCTTTGTACATTCGCAATGCATTATGGGTATGGATAACATAGAAACCAACGTGTATACCCAAACCTATGGAACGGCAAAGCAGTCAAATTTGTATTTGTTTCTTGATATATTTCTATAATAAATAGAGTATCATTTCGCTTATTAATGGACCGACCAGTCACTGGTGAGCAATATTGGTTTTCTGATTCCTCAGTTTGCTCGTATAAGAAGGGATCACAGCAAAACTTGTTTATTTTTCAGAAATCAAATCACCAAGATGCAACAATCTCACCAGACACAGGTTTATGTAGAAATGGCGTTGTTTTGTTTGTCATCCATAACCAGAAAATTGGAAAGGTTTATTTCTTGATGGAAACGCTGCGTGACCTCAACAAAACTGTCACTGACCAGGAATGGCGTGAGCATATATAGCAACCAGCAGTAAAAGCCAGCGGCTTGAAGTTGTGCACAACAATGAGAACGCGCGTAAATTTAGCTCGTACCGCCGCCGCGCCCATATGGATGCGAGCAAAGGATGCAGTGCGAAAACATGTTGTAGGTATTACGATTATTACCAATAGGAATACCCCTTTCCGTAAACGCATTTGTGTTCGTTGTGTCGTTACGTTGTGCCGTTAATACGTTGTGGCGTTACGTGTAATTAACCTGTACGCCCGAAATATATAAATGTACATTTGTGTAATGTAAAACAAAACACATCTTAGAGGATTACCCAGAAGTGCTGTGGGGTGCTATATACGTGTAGTTCACGTGGAATAAAGCTCCATGCTCACAGACGGTTGCTTCGAGTTATACACATGAAATTAGAATGTTGGTGTCCATTTCCCGAGCTACTGTAGCCTGTGTGCAAAATACATGTATGAAAAGCTAAAGTTGCCCTTGCCGTGCTTTTTTCAAGTTTCATCCGGGTTGAAAAAAAAAATTAATTTCTGTTTTGCTAGCAAAGCAAATGGTGTTCACTTTTGAAACAAATTTCAGAGTAATTGCAGGCGATCTTTTTGTGCCCCAAAGCAATAAAAACAAAATACTAGAAAATGTGTTTTGTGGACAAATACAAGCTTGTGTCGACTGTTTGAAACGACTATATGTTACATGTGATGACGACATGACCTCAGTTCAAATTTCATCGATAACACATGTGATAGACATGACATGTGATTGAGACATGATGATGTCACTTCAAATTTCATCGCTAACACATGTGACGTACATGACATGTGATGATAACATGCATAACGTCACTTCAAATTTCATGGATAACACATGTGACGTACATGGTGCGATGACGTCACCATGACGTCACTTAAGTTCATCTATAACCCATCCCGGTCTCCATACCTACCAAGTTACAACCAATATGGACGTATACAGCTCTGTACATAAAGGTAGAGATTTTGAAAAAGGCCCCTTTAATGTGACGTCATATGACTTGTGATGACGTCATCATGACGTCACTTAAATGTCCATGTGTAACACATCCCGGTCTAAGTGCCTACCAAAAAAGTTATAACCGAATCCGACCTATAGTTCTAAAGGCCTTCAGCACCTTTAATGTGATGTTACTTGACACCTGATGACGTCATCGTGACGAAAATCTTCGAGGACCATCTGCGGGTGCTGAAGTTGATCAGATTTCGTTGATCAGAACTTTTTAAAGCCTATGGAGAAAATAACGCGTATAAAGCCTTTGGAGAAAAGAACGTGTACAAATCCTATGGAGAAAAGAATGTGTGCAAAGCCTATGGAGAAAAGAAAGTGTACAAATCCTATGGAGAAAATGTGCACCTCAATGACCGCCACAAAAAAAATGTGACGTAACTTGACACCGGATTTTTTATTATTTATTTATTTATTTATTTCGTGTTATTTTTTAACCAGGGTAGCCCCATCAGTTATCAATGAACTGTTCTACCTGGAGGCCCTGATGACGTGTATACCAAGTCTAAAGTTCATTGGTCTTACGAAAGTGCCAAAGTGTATGGGTAGAAGAAAAAAGTGTATAAACCCTAAAGAGGAAAAACTGGAGGAGAAAAAAGAGCTGTTTCTGCAAGAAACAGTTTCCCGAGAGGATTGCAGACGTACGTCCAAACTAGAACGTATTTAATACATACATAGGTCCTATTGAAAATGTGTTGGAAATAAACAAGTTCAAATTAACTGATGAGCGGGGATATCAACTGTAAACAACATAATAATGCTGGCCCACTTCTTCAGGTGTTCACAGGCACTATTACTTTACCTCATACATATTCATGATCCAGAGCCGAACTCTCACTGGTCAATTCATCATCACGTGCCAGATGTTATTCTTGCTGTTTACCAAACGCGCGCTTGAGGATTCACGCACAGGGTAAATACGCATGCGTAGTAGACTGTCGCATGGGTTACCCGTGCGACAGTCTACTACGCATGCGCTTTACAAGGCAATCGACGAACTGTCTCACGGGGGTGGTACGCACGCGCATCGCCCTAGAGAGGCCAAGTTCGGGCAAGGACCATTAGTTGACTAGGGGTTGATTTGTGACGTACCTTACGCCTGCGCACTGATAGCAACGTGCGAACGCCTCTAGTCAAATGCTGGTCAAAATGTTATCGCAAAACTTCTGGATCCTGGTTCCCTGCTAGCGTTATGAATGCGCGCGGCTATTGGTTACCAGCGATGCAACCTGCCCCAGTAGGTTGGTTCCAAATAGTCGACTAGCGTAGTCAACCAACGTCGACTAGTTCGGGCAAACGTTAGTCGAACTATGGTTAACCATTGGTCAACTAGGCTTGCGCGAACTTGGCCAGATCGAGATGCATGGTTAATTGCACGGTTCGCGTAAATGTTAATTTTCCCGAGCTCCATGATGCATGCCGTGCTGGAGAAAATTTATGGACAATAAAGATGTCTCCTGTACAAAAGAAAGTTGTACACAAACAACTGTATTTACAACTGTAGTTACTGTATTGCCAATGAACCGAACTAGTGAAGTTGAGCAACAATATTATTTTGGTGAGCTGTACAAGTTTCTCCGAAAATTTTCTTTTAGGTGAATACATATATATAAAAAATCGGCAACTGATTATGTAAGACAGTATGAGGCATAGTACAAATATAACATGGTTTATTTCGGGTGGACAGTCGATATTAGCTCCCCTCGGTATTGGAAGTTGAAAAGCTACGTTATATTTGTATACTGACGGTGCTATTACGAAGCCATAGAGAATTAAGGTTTTGCGAATAGCCACAAGTATGATGGCACATGGCATATGCACGTGATTCTCACGAAGATGACACGTGCCACCGTACTGGTTTGTTGGTGACGACAGCGTAGTCGGTCAGTATAAAACTACATGTATTAGAAGGACAAAGTGGTCGATCCGTCGCGTCGTGCCTGTTGCACCGTCTCCAAACTTCGTATACAACCAGAATGGAAAATCAGCTCATAATCGCCCCCACTTTACCCTTGGTTGCTGACAACGGTTCATCATTACGGGAAAACGTTTTGAGCAGATCCGGCTACACTGGCTTCGCCGTGTACCTTGCAGTGGTCATTTTCTTCAGCGTGTCCGGGAATGTCACAGTAATTCTCCTGTACGCTAGCAACAGATCGCTGCACAACGTGGTCAACATCCTGCTCCTGAACGTCTCCGTTGCTGATTTGTCCGTAGCCGTGCTGGGAACACCCGTCTCCTTCGCTGCCAGTGCGGCCGGTCATTGGTTACTCGGTCCCATCGGCTGTACCTGGTATGGATTCATCTGTACCTTATCGGGTAAGTCTGCGGTACCAAAAGGATGGCAATTAAGTACAGAAAAGCCGCAAAAGCAAAGTCGCGACAACATCAGAGATTACGTATTTCCTGCACCCGATTTCACGAAGCGACGCGTCGCAACTCGAGTTACGACGTGTAACACGTCGCAACTCGCGACGCGTCGTATCATCCATTTCACGAAAGTTGCGACGTGTTGAACGCGTTGTAAGTTCCTTGACAATGGCTTAAAACACGTTGGAAGTTACGACGTGTCTAGTGGTCATCGCAAAATAAGAAGAGTCCCTTTCTAAGCCAATTTATTGCCATAAACATTACAAAATCGAGATTATAATACCGAGGCAATGTGTGTAAAGTTGTAAATAGAAACTCCATTGAATAATTATGAATTAGAGTGGAATATTGCAGTTGAAATTCAAAGTAGCTATACAGTCCACTGAGAGCTTGTTTTCCTTCGAAATTGCATCTTACGGCCACCATTTTGTTTTACGTTTTAACAAATTTCGAGCTGAGATCCGACGACTCTTTGTTGAATATCAGACGACTATTTACTGGACGCTGACTAAACACATAAAACAGTCACCGAGTTGTGCTATAAATACACCTACGACGCGTCGCACTTACAACGTGTTTCGTGAAATGGATCGCAGGACGCGTCGCAGCTACGACGCATCGTAGAGATACGACGCGTCGCATCGCTGCGATGCATCGTAAGTTACGAAGAGTTTGATGAAATCGGGTGCTGTTCTGACAGACATGAAAGGCAAATGTATTTATAATTATCGTAAAGCTCATTAATATTAAAATAGTATTAATTTGTCTGTTCACCATCAATGTAGCATTTTTGGGTTATTGCAGTTTATGGGTGTTTAATGATATTCCGAACAAGCTGTTGTAGGGTAGCATGTGTGCTACTCATGAGCATATCGGTAACAGCTTCGATATAAAAAAAAGTGGAAACTATTATTGCGTATGCAATAACGGAACACCACTGCCAGGCACCGTCGTTTGGTGCGAAGCGTACTGATTTTGTAAAAGTTCAGATTGTATCTATTGGCGGTAAGCGGGCCGCGGGATGACCAGGAACCATTTTTACCATTAATATATACAATGATCATTTTCCCACATTTCTTGCCATGATCCCCTTCAAAACGTTTTATACTATTTTTTAAAAATGTTTTGAAGGGGGATTTAAAGGCTGGGCCGAATTACATGATGAGCGAATGTGCAATCAAAAGTACGTGTTTCTCATTCAAAATAACAGATTGCATCACATAACATTAAACTAAAAGTGAAATAGAATGACAATGTTTGAAATCGCCCTCTAAAAAGCGAAAAGGAAGTCTCATGAACGAATCTGAATGAGCATAAACGAAAGGTGCTGCTCAATCATTTAATTGATTGATTGAACTGAAATGGAATGGAATGCTCTGGTAGCGAAAATGAAACTCGTGTTCAGAGCGATTCTCAAATTCAGTCGAAAATGAATGACCAATTTTCAGAAGTGAATGAACATTTCAGGAAATTGGCCGGGAAAACCTATATTTTTAACATTTTTCCCCACCGCTGCTGGGATGCATGTTAGGCAAAGAAAGAAAGGACATCGAGAGTCAAAGAAATCTGATACAATGTTCCAAAACTGTACTTAACAGTGAAATACGAAATGTGGAATACTAGGGACCTTGACCAGTCCTGTAGTTGTCTTCATAATATTAGTAAATTGACGGCACTTGGCGCCCGTCCAACGAATTGACTGAAATGACTAAATATGAAAAGACATGAACAAACAACATAAAGATAAGAGCACGGAAAGCTCAATGCTCCCTCTTTAGTTTTGATGCAGTGATCATTCCACTTGCGGCAATAACATACCATTGCAATCGTGTCTTTTTTCTTTCCCCCCGAGTTCTAGACAGTAGGGACCATTAACAGTGCCGTAGCATCCTGGGTGGTAAGGAGCCCTCCCCCCATATGTTGTCACAAGTGCCCTTCTTTCAAGAGTGCCCTTTTCTTTAACGTCCGCGAGCGATTTTTTTTACGTAGCCGGGATGCTCTAAAGTCATGCATAATTCAGTTTTCCTTTGAATCGTTACAAGACACTTAGGTTCTTGTTCTCTTTTTCCCTTGAAATAAATTTATCTCAACGAAAAATTCAGAGGAGAAAAACAATCGATTTAAATGAGCAGCAACGACGTGGATTCAAACCAGGGATCGTTGTATCCATAGCTCATCACGCTATCCACTAGGGTACTGTGTGGTTGCTCGACGACGTCTGTACTTAAAAAATGCTTTAACCCTATCAGGACCGGGGGAGGCACAATGTGGCCCCCTCCCATATTTTTGCTCATAACTTTTTAACGGTGCAGCCGATCGCCACCAAATTTGGTGACTTTTCCTAAATATTATCTGGGGTCATAATAGATAAAAAAAAAATCAAGGGGTGGTTCGTTGTTGCCATAGCAACCGTTGGTTTTACATTGGTTCCCAGTTTTTCACGTAATTTTAATAAACTAATGTTTAAATATTAATTTCTACACTGTAAAACTAATTGTCATATTGTTATTAATTTATTTATCAGATAAGTGATTGAGAAGTGTCCCGTGACAAACATGTTTCCCAAATTTTATGACATTTGACCAAAGAAAACGGAAAATACGGGGAAAAAACTATTTTTGACCAAAAATGGGCAAAAATGTCCCAAAAAACGCCCTCTATGGACGTTTTTTCAAAAAAAAAATGGCAACCGGTAGGATTTGGTCAAAGGTTAATTTCTACCAAGTTTTAAAAAAATCGGTCATTTACTTTTGAAAATATAGAAAAAAATATACCTACGGGGACCCCCCGGTCCCCGTAGGTCCAAAAAAAGTCCGGTCCTGATAGGGTTAAAGTGAACTGGTTGACTAAATAATAACAACAATGCTATTGATATCATTGTTCTGTTTCATGAATAACCATACTGACCCGATCGAAACTACTGAATTATTTATGACTTTGGAGCATCCCCTACGGAAAAGAAATTCGCGTCCCGCGAACGTCGGCCCCCATGAGGAGCGCCACCTATCGTGCGATAATGCCCATGATTGTCCGCTTTGAACAGTGCCCCATTGGAAGATGGTTTCCAGCCCCCCCCCCCCCCCCGGATGATCTAGTGACGCTCAATGTGCCTTTTTCACGTCTACCCCCCCCCCCCCCATAGTGAATTTGATACGCGCATGGTACGAAATGGTACGCGTACAGGATACGTAGGTACGGTGGCTCGTTAGATCACTGTGTTTCGTGGTTATTCATCTGGCACACTATGGGCAATGTGCATTTCACAACAAAAAATGTTAAGATGTATATACGTATAAGGTTTGGTGAAATAACCAAAAACATGGCAATTTAACAAACTAAATTTTTTTTCGGAGTACTTGTTGTGCACATACGGCACATTATTAAGTAGTGCTAAAATAAATTGGTGGTCTGAATGCTGCAGGTTCCGAGTCCGGGTTCGAATAATAAGTCTACTGTACGTTTTCATTTTTTTCCCCAAAAGTGATATTTCATCCCTAATTATTGTGTTCAATCAAGTCCTGATCATCGATGAAATAAATTTCTCCACTTCCTTCTCATTCGTGGCCCTGATGACTTTTTTTAACCCTCCGAGCAGCGAAGTGGTGATTTCATTCTCCACATTTTCCAAATATGGGCATAATTTTTTTTTCAATGGGCCAATAAGGCCAAGCTTCCATGTAATCCTCACCCCTACTATACCCCACAAGCCTGTAGACTCCCATTGGCCAGTCCCTACCCACTCCGAGTAAGGAGTGTTGAAAGACAGAAGCCAAGATGGCGCCCAATGCCTTTGTGCAGTAATGGGAGATCTTAGTGGCCAATCCCTCAGTGCCGCCGATCCTTTGTGTCAACCCCTCGTGCCGCCAGGAGCCCAGACAGGTTGTAAACAATCCCTGGCCATGTGAATGACCTATATCTTGTGCATGTACAGGCATGCCATGGTTATTGACCTATAAACACAGGTGGTGATCAAATTCTCCACGTGTTTCCACGGTGTGATTTTTTTTGGTAAGCTGCTCGGAGGGTTAAAAGGGAAGTGAAGTCCAAGAACATTCCGTTGCCAACTGACGCATGCGCATTCTCGGCATTGATTATACTTGTTGCCAAAAAAACAAAACAGTAATTGCCAACGGGGAGCCAGGACTTACGCCTTTCGTTTGACTACAGCCATTCACGCGGTGCTAGTAGTGCGCAGGCACACGTTACGTCACGCACGAATCAGCCACTATTCGCTTACGGTCGACTAATGGCCCTCGTCACAACTTGCTCATTATGTGTGTAGCAGACCAACGCCCTGTGTAACACTCTTTCGACCCCATGCAGCCTCGTGATGGCAGTTCATTTTGAAAACCGAATTATGTCGTAACTCTTCCTCACCAGACTCACTTTCTCAACGTAGGTTTACATCAACGTATTTAATGATGTGCATTGCAATGGTGCATGTACGTTTAATACCCACGCTTCAAATTTACCATCTGCCCCGGATAGGTGGATCACCAAAAACCTGAAAACTTCACCTCCATACTACTTCTTCTGCTCATTAGAAACCTACACAATACGGTTCAAGAATGTAGAGGAATTTATGCCATTCCTATGATTGTTCCATACACCAGCCTAGGCTAAACATTGACCTTCGATGATTGTTTTTACCCTTTACAGGATGCGCGCAAATTGTTGGAATAGCAGCTGTCTCCTTACATCGGTATTTCTTGGTCGTGAAGCCATTTGTTGCCAAGAGACTGACGACAGGAGGCGCCCTAGTCTGCGTGGGATTTACTTGGGTCTACTCCCTGGCTGTCGCTCTACCTCCCGTTCTCGGATGGAGTGAGTTCACACGTGAAGGCGCCGGAATATGTAAGATTTCAACACTTCCTTACATCAGCAAGATTTGCATTTTCTCGTGCCGGTCGCTTAATTAAGGGTAAAATATTATTTTTAGTGGTAGGGTGTCTCACTGTATGGTGCGCAGTTATTATCGATACCAACTTAATGTTTGTCGTGGGTTCGGGTCCCACCCAAGTTATCTATTTTATCACAAACGCTCGGTATACATTGCAACACTGAGTCTACAGTGTTTTTTTTATAAATGCGTCGGTGAAGGGCAAACACACTTTTGAATTTGCATCACCCCGACGCAGATTCCATCTTATTATTGTTTTGATGTCCGTAGTTGCCAATATAATAACCAAGTACAAATATTAGAAGTCATAAATTTGGTTATGTATAAAACATGGCAATATGTATTTTTAAGAGTTAAAACAAGTATTCACTTGGTCACGTGGTACAATGACGTGAGCAGGAATTTAATATGGCGGATATTGACACGTAAGCCCTCTTTTAATTTTAACTGTTTCTTTGGGGTTCTTGGGATTTTTTTTTATATTAACCAAGCAGTAAGAATTTAACCATAAAAAGCTTTCTTATTTGAGCCAATTTCAGTTGAAAATCAAAATTGAGGACACAATATATTTGGGGAAAAAATCATAAAATTGATGGTTTTTTGCTTTCCAAGTAGGTAAAGCGCCCATGACGTTGATCATAGTTACGAAATGTTTAATTTGATGCAAAATAAGTCAAAGAATATCTGTACCAAGTTTTAAAGTATTTGGAACGTTTAGAAATAATGCCAAATATATTTGTTTTGACGAAAAATAGGGCAACCAAAATGTCACATTGTAGAATACTAATAGCCGACAACATTTAACGAACAAAATTTAAGGAAAGAGTTGCCAAAACATATTGAAATTCTAATCGAGGAACATGCGCCCAGGGTCTTGAGAAAACCGTAAATAACTGGGTCCATATAGCGAGTGTTCCGTTTTAAAGAAATTAACATTTCGTATTCGTATAACTTTACTTTTTCCTTTACCTTGTTGTCATGATTAGGATTGTGTGGGATGTATTTGACGTAGGCTAAGGACATCCACATCATAATCTCATTGAGGCCTGTGATTGAAATCAAATTATTATGAGAACGAGAGTATACAGGGTGAGTGAAAAAAACGAATCCAAATGTTGGGACCATTGTTTTAGTGAAGTTCTGCATGTAGCATTTTCAAATTCTAGGACATGAAAGCCCAGTTCATAAGCTTTTTTTAGTACAATAATCATTCAAATCTCTCTTGTGCTTTTCAAGTTACGGAATTTTAAAACACAACCATCGTTTTAAAGTTTTGTCCACGGATCACAAAAAAAGTTCCGTTTTCTTTCAGTAAAACGAAAACAAATCACACAGGGATGTGTGTGATTTGTTTTTCGTTTTGCTGAAAGAACGCAGTCCTTAGGTTTCGGGTTTTTTTTTACTCACCCTGTATATATATAAGCGTATATTCTTATGTTTCCCCCCCCCCTCCGTCTCTCCTGCCTACGATACTAGAATCCTTTTAAATACAATCCACAGTCTGTATTATTCATGACAAATTCCATTCTTCTTGAAGGACATTTCCTGGGAGGATTCTCCATTAAGATTTAGTGAACGTATGACATATCTTCCCGTGAGACCCTATTACATTATCATTCGAAAAACAGACGCATTTTCCTACGTTGGCCGAAATGAGAAAAAATGTAGCTCTGTGGCCTGATTTTAAGGAAAGATAGGTTTCCAGTCCGAAACATTATACTTCTGTTGACGTGTAGCCTATACACATGTAGATCGAAATTCTCCCTCAATTTCGTACGCGGTTATATCATACGATACTTTTACTTGTGGAATTAACCTCTACATTTACTCTTAGTTCGTATAATATATTTTACGCCACAGTGATATCTAAATATATTTGAAAATGTGCATCAATTAATTCTGGTGAATATTGTACCATATATTTTATCATGCTTATGAAACTGCTCCCATTTTGCCATCCCATAGCTTGTTCCGTGAGCTGGCACTCTGGGAGTCGGTCTTACACGTTTTTCATCTTCACCATGATCCTGGCGATTCCCATGGCTATCATCCTCTTCTCCTACAGCCAAATACTTTTCACAGTAAAAAAGGTAGGGAGTTATTATAGTCGCACAAGCATTGGCGGATCCAGAACACAATTTTGGGGGGCCCAAAAATTTTTGGGTCCCCCCCCCGCAGATCCGCCCTTGCCCACAAGAATACCATATAGTTTGCCAAACGATCGATCAATCGTTCCCTTTGCGATGAAGGTTTATATTAACTAAACGGCCAATTGTTATTTTTACGTGCACTGAATTTTGTTTTCCCTGCAGTAGGAATACTAATCTTGCTTATTCCAGCATTCTAAGCAAAAATATGTCAGGTAATAAAAAATAACTTAAGTTTGAAGGGTTTTTTTCATAATAAAACGTAAAGTTTAAACCGTTATCTAGAACGGAGCTCCAAGAAACCAGATACTGCGTGGGGCAAACATGCTATACTTGAGAACGTTCAGATCAAGTTTTTGTTGTATTCTTGATTCTAAGAAGTCTGTGGATATAACTGACGGTCAACCGTATGTTCTATTCAAAAGTGCATACATTTGACATTTTGTGGCAAAGCTCTTTTCAAAGGCATTCTGAGGCTCCGAGTCGCATAATTGCCGGAATATTCTTAAGATAAACATCATTACCCCCTTCAAAACACGATAGTCAGTTTCGAGGTACCATTTCTTCATTCGTTAAAATATGTCACAATGACAGTCTTGCCCCTTCGTTCTCTTCCTTTTCCATTTGAAGATGGCCAAGTGCCAGGTTAGTAACCAGCGGTCAAGGGAGGCAGAGAAGAAAGTCACTATCATGATTATAGTCATGGTGCTCACCTTTTTGGTGGCTTGGACCCCTTACGCCGCCCTGTCTTTGTACATGGCCCTCGGCGGCGATAGCGTCTCCATTACACCCCTGACCGCTACCTTGCCATCAATGTTCGCCAAAGCATCGACCACCTACAATCCTGTTATTTATTTTCTTCTTCATAAAAAGGTAATGTCTCATAACAAGAGAAACAACAACAACAACGGTAATATAACAACGAGTATGACGAACGAACGACGGAAAAAACAAACAAACAAACAAACAATCCTACCAATTAACTTATAGCCTATTTGTAACGGTGATAAACATGGGCGTCGCCAGGATTTTTCGAGAGGGGGCAAAACATATTTTTCCCAAAAAATGCTTGAATTTCTCAAAATGTTCTCGATTTATCAGTTTTAGAGGGGGAAGGGACATTTTGCCCCCCCCCCCCATTAAATTTACACCACTGTGACTTCGCGCCTCTTTTTCTTTTCTTTTTTCTCTGTTTCCCCCCCCCCCCCCTTTTTTTTTTTTTTTTTTTTTTTTTTTTTGGCTTTTCCAGGGGGGGCCCCTCCCCCCCCCCCGCGACGCCCATGGTGACTAATAAATATGTCAATAACATTTGGAAATTGAATTGTTTGGGTTGATTGTCACACACCCCCTCAAAACAAACTCACGATGTACTTAACTTCACGTTAAGTACGGTTGAGTCTCGATAGTCCGAAGTACCATTGGTCCGAAGTCCCATTGGTCCGAAATAAAGGCAGACACTGCGCACATAGCCATTTTTGTCAAAAAATGGTAAAAGTGGTCAGAACTGCTTCAGATCGCGCGCACGACAGAGCATCTAAAATTCAAAAAATAATTCGGCGCCTTTACGCGGGCCTCGAACACCACGCCGTAATTTTTGGACCCACTTTTTTTTTGGGGGGGGGACCAAAAATGTCCCCCCCCCCAAGAAAAAGTGTGTTCTGGATCCCCCTTGTCAATGGGTGCAAACGAGTGACGCTGAACGTGGCCCGATTCTGACACTAGGGAGGCTGTTCAAGGCGGACGATTTTGGACACCGTCTAACACAAGGTAGCACTGTTCAGTGAGACCTCGTTTGCCGACTTTTGTAGGAGATTGCCGACAAGAACAAATGGCGATTACTCCATCAGAGTCTGTCGAGGAGGGACAGGGCGATGGTCGTTTTGTACTAGTGCCACACTGCTCCATAATCACGCACTTTTTCCCTCTATGTTTCACAGTTCAGAAAAGCTCTCCTTCAGACATTCTCACGAAGGAATCGTGACAGGAGCCTTCATATCAGCCCGACAGAGAGTATACTTGCAAGAAAGGTACCAATCGGATGTCAAGGCCGCAACATGTCCACCAACAGCCTAGAATGGACCAAAGAATTCAGCTGGCAGGAGCATGCATAATCCCTCCAATGCAATTTGGGAATTGATGATATTAAAGTCTGACCGCAGCCCCGATTCAGACTCAGTGACGTAACTGGGGTTCAGTTGACTGGTGTTGGGGCACTCAGGGCCTCACTTTCTGGAGGGGGCATTTATGGTTTTGTTTTACAATAGAAAGCTCACGTTGGGCCTTCCCCGTATTCAGGGGGTGGGGCATAGACCCTGAACATAGGGAGTGATGCCCTCCGTAGCTTCCCCATTACTCACGCCACTGATCCGATCAGTTATTAAGTTCTAATGGCAAAAAATGCAATATTTTTGTCGCCTCATGATAGGCATATACAGTTTTCATTCGTCGTTATTGCAATAATCATTCTGACAAGTTGTCCGTAACAACGTTCTACGGCAGAAACGGTTTTTTTTTTTGCACCCACAGTTGTGTATAGCTCACCATTGGATAATGGACTTAATTATATCGCAAAGACATCATAAAATGTCGTTAAAATCAGGTTTATTCCTTGAGATAGAGTTGTTTAATTGTTGTTTGTACTGAAGTATTGTTAGTATAAGTATTGCAACTATATATTTGACACGTTTAAAAATGTTGATATAAAAAAGACAACTTGCATTAAAAACAGGCACTCGCAAGAAACTTTTCTTTTTAATCCGTAAATTGACCTCACTGTATTTCAGTTCTCAGTCGATATACTGCAGGACAATGAGTCATGTAGGGTAATACAATGTATACGTTTCGAGCGTTGCTTTCGATGACCTACAGTAAAGGGTTTACAGCTGCATAAACAGAGATCGTCTGCCGACAGACAAGTGTGTCCATCATAACAAAAATACATTTTCAGTAAATATAGTGTGGACTTGCGAATGGAGTTTTCAAAAAGGTTCACTATTTTTTTATACGGCTCATGGGAAGGAATATTGAGCAAATATGTTTATAAACGAAAAATTCATTTCATGTCAACGCTTTTATGAGGCAAATAGTCGGAAGCACAAAACAATGATTGAGACTGCAATCAATTCGGGCGATTCACAGTGCAGTGCGCCACCAAGAGTTTGCCATGGATAGTCCATTTTTGAAGTTTACGGTCAACACAACATGGCCCATTTAATTGAGTGTCAGTAGACACTTGAGCTAGTTGAGGCGCGGTTCTAGAGCCAATATTTTTTGGGGCTAGCAGGGTGGATCCAGGTTGTTTTTTCAGGGAGGCGTGCTGAAATCTAGACCGGTTATTTTCTCCGGACACTTAGGCCTCCGAAAATCAAAAGGGAGGGGGGCGGGGAGGGGGGGGGTCGTGCCATACGACTTTGAACTGTATAAGGTTTTGTCTATGTAAGGTATGTGCTGACATTTACATATTTGTTCTTTTATACACACCAACTGACCATTTTGTTTAACCTGCATCTTTTGATCCATGTTAGTGTAAAACATAGTGTTTTCCTATAGTCTAGTAAAAGTCTGAATGAAACAGTTTTAGACAGCAACCAAAAAAAACCCCACATGCAGTTTAACGTCACAATTGTCATTGTTTAATTAGTTTGCAGTGTTTTAATTTATCATTGTTACAGTGTAACGGGATAAGTTGTTACAGTGTAACCACTTTTCCCACGCGGTATGTACATGTGGCAGGGCCCACGTTTTAGCACCAAAAAAATCCCCAACTGCTTTACGTCACAAATTGTCATTGT